TAGTGGTAGTGGCAGCAGCAGCAGTATAACTAGTCGTGGTAGTAGCAATACTGAGTACCAGGACGACTTAATACTTGTGACAGCACTCGTACTACTACACCAATACTATTTGCAGTAGTACCAGTGCGAGTAGTGGGGACAACCCCCTTTTGGGCTTCTTGGTCCCAGATGAAATACCGCCTCACTGATACCCCACCCGAGCGGGAACTTCTGCAGCGGCCTCGTCAAAGGACCGGATGACCGGCAGCAGCCGGCCCTCCTCGATGAGAGGCTGAAAATGGGACCTGCAGGCTTGTAGACCTTGAGTGTCCTTTGCCACAACCACATTCAAGGGGTCGCTGCCCTCGACACTGTAGCCACGCAGGCTCTGCAGGCATGCCTCCATCCGACTCGTCCAGCAGAAGTTCACGAAGGCGTAGGCCATGGTGCTAGATTTCGCCCTGGGCTTCGGGAAGAAGAGGAAGAAGTCGTAGCCCCTCAAATCCCCAATGCCCTGCAGCCACTTCAGGGCAGAGTCCTGGTTAGTAATCGTATCTGGCAGGTTCCGGATGACCAGCGTCGTGGCCTTCTGAGTCTCGAGATCTCGATACTTCTTCGCCTTGGCGTCCCGGCCCCAGGGCAAGGTATCTTCCCAAAAGGGACAAGGGACTACTCCAACATCCACGAGATTACGAGATAAGCCCAAGCTCCAAACACGAAAGCCAGGCTGCAGCCTCAAAATCCTCGGAAGAGATGCTCTGCAGTGCCTGCTTGTCAAAGTAAGGGCCGACCACGGCGGTCTTCTGCTGTGTCCTGGACGATTCTTCAAGCACGGCCAAAGGGCCTGCAAATAGATTGCTGACGCCTGCTAGCTTGTGTCTCTGCGAGCCTGTCCCGTCGACACGGGCTAGAACTATTAATTCATTGTGACGACGGAGGACACGAGCACGATGCTGCCGACTAGTACGGCCGCTACGCTAACCACCACCACGACGACCTCTTCTGCTGCTACTACTACTACTAC